AAAAGAAATTCTAGACAAGAAAAGTACATTTTATTTTATGGATTGGAATTATCACTTCCAAAAGGCGGAGAGACAGAGTGAGGCCTGGGGGTGCACAGAGGCCAAGACAAGACCAGCAAGATGGGACCAAATGCGGATGTCTTCCAGTTCTAAGGCCTGTGCCTTCTACCAACTGGTCTCATCCATGAAGCATGGAAACATCTGTACACACACACACACACACACACACACACACACGCACATGCACACACACACACATGCGCGCGCGCACACACATGCATGTACACACACGCATGCACACGCATGCACACGCATACACACACTTTGGTGAACCCAAAGCTTCCAGCCCATCACTAGTGTTATTTTTAACTGAACCCTGAACTGAAGGGGGGCAGTGCTCAAATTGAGTTGAAACTTGTATATTTTTTCAAGCTCTTAAATCTGAACGTTCAAGTAGTTCTTGAGACAGAAACCACCATGTGACAAATGCCACCATAATCTCTCCCTTCTGTATATTTTGATTTGTCTAAGGTCACATGAGTGGCCAGAGTCTAGAGACACTTAATTGCTCTGAAGGAGCCGCACAAAGTTGTTTCTTCCCACACCCCCCTTCCCTTCTCATCCTGAGCCAGACAGTTACCCATTCCCGTCTCCGCCAGTGATACCCTCTGTGCTCCAGGTCTCGCTTCTCTGCACAGACGCTTGGCCATGTTTGCTGAGTGAAGGCAGGGGCCATCTGGGTCCTGCGAGACCCTGTATTTCCCACCACCCAAGGACAGGAAGCCGTGGTTGGAACTTGATCCCTTTGGGAGGCTCCAGACAGAAGCCTCACGGTTTGGGTAGAGAAACCCAACCGTTTTTGTTTTTTTTTTTTTTTTTTTTACCAACAGGGAGCCTCTGTATTCTGAGCAACGGCTGGGTTGGCTCAGGAGCCAGGTGGCCTTCATCTCTTCTGGCTCAGGCCAGCAGAGTGCATGACCCTCCTCCACAGCAAGATGGGGACTCAGAGGAGCCTTGGGGCCCCTGGGGAGACATTCATCTTCCCAGTCTTTATCATATTTTTCCATGACAGTGCTCTCCTTTTGAGATGCAGTGGCCCAGCTGGAGGCTGAGGGCTTTCAAGGCACTTTTGTTTGTGCCCTGTCCCCAGTCCAGGAAACTAGGTGCAGGGCAAAGACTCCTTGCTTTCCAAGACAGTCTTCTCTGGGCTTGCAGTGCCAACCAACGGTGGGAGTGGTGAGCCCCGGCCACTGTGGGACTAGACGGCGCTAGTTAGGATTCTGGCACTATTGGTAACTGTACAATCTTGATCGTGGATGAACTTCTCCGTGCTATAATTTCTCCGCCTTAAAACTGGCACGGTGAGCACATAGCCTGAGGATTTACTCAGTGTCCTCTGGAAAGCCCCGAGAGCAATGTCTTGCACACAGCAAGAGTGGTGTTTGCTGTTCTCACACTGCCCTCCCCTCTCTCTGTCCTCAGTGTTTTCAGCCGTACAGTTGAGGCTGCTCCTCTGGGATGCCTCCTGATAGCGGCTGAGCTGAACTGGTGCAGGGCCCATTTCTTAGATTCTCTTCATCTCATCATGCTCCTCTATAAACGGGTGGGGGCAGCGATGAACTGAGAGAACCGGTACCAAGGCACGGGGCTTGACACTGACCTCGGAAAGACTTCAGAGTTAGTTATCGCGTTTGTTTTGGTGAGGAAGACCTTTCTAAGTCAGGGTAGGTTGTGCACTGTGTTTTTCTCGTGTGCTGCCCCAGCTTTGCCTTAGCCATGGACACCTACAGTCTGGAGCAGAAGGGCATTTTACAGTTGGTGAAGTCATCCCGTCAGCATTCACAGAGCGCCCATACAGCCAGCCATTGTGAGAGCCTCTGGAGCTGGAGACAGAGCAGCGCGTAACCTCTGCTTTGTAAGCTTCCATTTCCTAGGCTGGGGCAGCAGACAGCTAAACATGGGAGTACGTAAATACAATATGTGCTCGGACTCAATCCCTTTCTTTTGAAGATGGGGAAACTGAGGCCCAAGGAAGAAAGAAACTTTTCTAACTTCCTCCAGTGGCATATCCAGGCAGAAACTTGCAGGCAAAGCCTCCACAGTTTAGGCTGACTTACCCTGAAGCCTGGACTTCTCCGAGGTCTTAAATGCAATAGCACATGCGTGCAGAGGCTGCAGGTCAGCCTTAGTATCGTGTCTCATATAGCATCCATTCGCCTTTTCTTGTTTTATTTTTCGAGACAGGGTTTCTCTGTGTAGCCCTGGCTGTCCTGGAACTTGCTCTGTAGACCAGGCTGGCCTCGAACTGAAATCATCCTGCCTCTGCCTCCCTAGCACTGGGACTAAAGGCATGTGCCACTTCAGGTCACCTTGTAAATTTGAGACAGGGTTTCTCAGTGGGACCTAAAGCTCATAGAAGAAGCTAGGATGGCGGTGCCATGAAGGTCAGCAGTCTGTATGTCTGTCTCCTTGGTGTTGGGGTCACAAGCCTGTGTCATGGTACCTGATTTTTTGCATGGGTTCCGAGGATGGAACTTGGGTCCTTGAGCCCTGTACAGCACCGAGCCACCCCTAGCCTCATTTTATGCATCTTAAAACACTTACTCCTAGAGTCAAGTTTGGGACAGATAATTGTCATACTTTTTTTTTTTTTTTTTGATTTTTTGAGACAGGGTTCCTCTGTAGCTTTTTTTGGTTCCTGTCCTGGAACTAGCTTTTTTGAAGATAGAGTTTCTCTGTGTAACACTCCTGACTGTCCTGGAACTTGCTTTGTAGATCAGGCTGGCTTCAAACTCACAGAGATCCACCTGTCTCTGCCTCCCAAGTCTGGGATTAAAGGCCTGTGCCACCACTGCGCCGTATACACAAAGGGGGAAGGAAAGGAGTTCAGATGTGGACCCCTGCCTTGCACACACCCTTCCCCCATCCTGGCTTCCCTTCTCTTTCTGGCTTCATTTTCCTCACCGTCTTCCTTGATGGCCACCTTTCCCGGTGACTCCTCTATCCAGTAGGTTGTTCTCTCGCGCAGCGCGTACCTTCCCACCAGGCAGGGTGAGCTCTAGCAGCCAGCAGGGTCTCCCGAGGGACTGGCTCTCTGCCTTGGCACATAGTAGACCCTCAGTAAATACCGGTGGAGCAAGAACAGAGGGAAGGAGAGCGCTTGTCCATGTCCTGAGGCCTGCTGGGAAACTCCACCAGCCTTCCCTCTGGATTCTCAGTCCAGGCAGCTGTCTTCCCCTCCTCCCGCCCTCGCACCCGGCCCTCCATCCGGCCTGCATTTTTCCGGGTTTGATATCATTTTTTCCACTCTCCCGGCTGCTGCCGGCGGCCTCTGCCAACTTTCCACAGCTACAGCCTCCCACCCCCATTCTCGACCGCAGGCCGGAGACAACTTCGGGTGGGGAGACCCTCCTCCACTTCCTGGGCATGACTGGTGACCAGTGAGCTAGTGAGCCTGGGGGAACTGGACACCCCAGGGCACTTTTTTTTTCTGCACCTCGTTCCTCTGGACTGGGCCATGAGTGACCCCCGTGCAGGGTCCAGGAGTCTGGCTGGGGGCGGCATTTGGTTGGAGGCAGAGGTGTCAGGAGTCAGAGGCAGAATGATCCAAACAGTTTGCATCTTGTTCTCTTCTCAAAGTTGTGACAGTCCCGCCTCCCCCATCCCACCGACATGGAAACTCCTGACCTCACCCCTACACCCAGCTGGGTCCCCAGGCAAGCGGGAAGCTTCACTGTGTCCTGGGGGCCTGGAACTCACTGACTGGTGACCCTGGAGTGCTCTCTGCTCCTCCCAGGGCTCCACTTTCCACATTTGGAAAACGAATGCACTGGACTAAATTAGTGTCTATCCTGGGATTAATGGACTGAGTTCCATGGAATTCCTGCCAGCCCCCCTTAAATTATACGCAAAATTGTGTTAGAAAAAAAAAATCTTTGCCCTTCCATTGTTTTGAGCTAGCGCCAGGCTACGTAGACCTGGCTGGCCTGGAACTTGCTTTGTAGACCAGGATGGCTTTGAAGTTTCGGGGGATCCTCCTGCCTCTGCATGCATTGAGTAGTAATGTTCCAGGTATGTACCTAATTTCCCTGTCCCTTCCCTGGAAGGCAAAATTGGCTTTGATTCTTTCGCTCAACCTCCTGAGTTCTGTGGTTATGGGTGTGTGCTGCTATCCTCACCTCCCCTATAGAATTTTAACACTCCCCTGCTTTTGTTTTTCACTGTTAGGGTGGGATCAAACCAATCACCCCACTGTTCCAAGAAGCTTGAATCTTTAATCACACCTGTATCTCCTGTCACTCTATGTGTGTGTGTGTGTGTGTGTGTGTGTGTGTGTGTGTGTGTAGGGCAGCGGAGATCTGCCCGTCTCATTTTTAGAGACAATGCCTCTGACTGGTCCCAGGCTCACCAAATAAGGCAGGGTAGCTGGCCCATGAGTTCCAGGATCCATTAGTTTCTGTCTCCAAGGTGCTGGGGTTATAGGGTTGTAGCACCAGGCTGGCTCTTTGCCTGGGTTTTGGGTATGGAACTCAGGACCTCATCTGAGTTGTCGACTGAGCTATTCACCCTATCCCCTCGTCAAGAGAACTGTGGTAGAGGGCTTCATAGCACCGGGGATCTCAGTGGCCTCCCTTAGAGCAGCTGCATGTTTCTGGGCTCCTTCCTTCCCGCTCGGAACCTCCTTTTCCTAAGCGGCCAGAGGAGGTTAGCAGTCTTAGGTGGTGTGCAAACGGAACACACGCATGCACAAAAATAACAGGGGTTGGGTGTGCAGCTCCATGCCAGAGCTTCATAGCATGTGTGACAGAGTGACGGCTTGGCACAAGCTGGCACCACCCTCAGTGCCAGCATGAATTCTAGGGAAAGGAGCAAATGGCAGGTCATTCGGAACTGTGGTAGTCACGTGGTCCACAGTGTGTGTCTCCTGGGCATGGGGAAGAAACTAAATCCAGCAGGGAGGAGGAGGGCCCGAGCACATAACTAATTCATTGACTTTATTGATTGTCCAAGACAACAAGGCCAGCAGGCCAAACCAGTCTTTAGTCAAGTTAGATGTTTGGAGAGGAGGAGGAGATGCCTAGAAGAGCCCAGAAAGTGAGGTCCATGCATCAGACAGGACATCCTGGACTGGCTCGATGCGGAATGTTCTGAGCGTTGGTCACAGCCCAGGGACAAGAGTTTTACAAAAAGACACCCACTCTATAAAAAACAAAAAACAAAACAAGAACCAAAACCCTACTTGTGCCCAGCTTGGGTTTACAGCCCCATAGTCCACCCATCACTTCCCCAGGGAAGAAGATTCGGTTCTCAAAGCCCTGGCTCCTGGCGATGCTCTCTGGCCATCCTGGAAACAGGCAAAGTCCACTACTCAGACTCGAGGCGACACACCTTCGGCCCTTAGTGGCACCACAGTGTCTCATCACCCCAGAGAGGTGCTCGCCTCAGAGCACAGCTAGATTGTGGCAGGACTTGGAGCGGGCCTTGAGTGCCCGGCGTTGTGCGCTGCGTGCTGTCAGGCGTGCCAGGAAGCGTCGGGCGCGCTGGCCCAGGCTGGCCCGTCGTCGAGGTGAAGGTGGCTCGGGGGCCATGCTGTCCTGGCGGCGCAGGCGCAGTTGACGCACTACGCCCTCAAAGAGCTCCATCACGTTGTGTTGCAGAGTGGCTGAAGTCTCGATGAACTTGCAATCAAACACCACTGCACAGGCGCGGCCCTCTAAGGGGGTGGGGGAGCCAAGATAGAAGGAGTAGTTAAAGGTGGAAAGAGGTGTGTTCAGACTCTCAGGAAGCATCGCCCCACACACCCCCCACCCCAGGATCGGGTTTCTATAGTGGCTTTGGCTGTCCTAGAACTAGCTCTTTAGACCAGGATGGCCTTGAACTCACAGAGAACCTCCTGCCTCGGCTCCCCACACTCACCCCAGGACTAGGATTAAAGGCACGTGAGCTTCCCCGGTGCTTACTTAATTCAGGTGTCGGGGGACCCAGAGGCAAATGATAAGGAGCTTTGAGACGGCAACTTGGTCTGGGGGACTGGCTGATACTCAGCAGAACGAGGCTGAGAAGATTCGACCTCACGACTAGGGCCGTTTTAAGATCTTACCGGCCCCACTAGAAATATGGAATTTATTAAACTATTCTTCTCCCACTATAAATACAAATTATACCTACCTTAAAAAGTTTCGGGTTGTAATTATTGGCCAATACACTGTTTCATCCAAAGTTTGAATTTATAATCTCCCTAATTTATACTGAGGCCGCTAGAGGCCATTTTCAGCTGGTAGACATTTAGTCTCTGATTACCAGGGGAGTTTACAGGGGGAATTTTAAGTAAAAGTCACAAGGTAAACTGTGGTTCTGGAAATTTCTGTCAGCGTCAAGGAGGAATGATTGAATAGGGCTAGAGAAATATAGGGACTGGGACACTGGGGATGGCAAGACAGTACAGAGACTTGGAGTGTGGCACAAGGGGACTGTAGAACTCGGGTACCGATTTGGGAGGTGAGAGGATGAGGCCTGGTAGGTAGTTGCAGGAATGCACCAGGTGGAGGGTCCAGACCTTCTCTGAGGTGAGCACCCGAGGAGGAGCAGTAAGGCTGAAGGAGAGAGGAGCGGTGGGCAGAGAACTCACCTTCTACGGAGACCTCCCTGCAGCGGGCCAGGTCTGCCTTGTTGCCCACCAGGATGATGGGCACGTGGTCGGCCTGATGTGTGCGCCTCAGCTGGATCCGGAGCTCCGAGGCGCTCTCGAAGCTGCAGCGATCTGCGATGGAGTACACGATGATGTAGGCGCTGCCCGCCTGCAGGCACGACTCCTGGCTCCAGCTTCCATCCTGCGGGGGAGGGACCCCAGGCCCAGCCTCAGAGGGTGCCTAGCCCTGGCTGACAAAGAGGCTTCCTTGGTCTAAAGGGTGGAGGAGGTACAGGTTCCATTCTGGATAGTCTTGGGGCACAAATTCTATCATAACGCCCCGTGCCACCTTGGGAAAACTGCTGATTCTCTGAGCCTCGGTTTCTTGCTTGGGAAATCTGACATAGGCTACCTAGCATTCCTCCCTCTTCCCTTGACTTTGGACGGAAACTGAGTGGGGAACCCTCTCCTGCAAGAGGCATCTTGCTTTGCCTGTTGAGTCTTGTCTTCCTCCTCCTCTTTCCCCCTCCTCCTTTCCTTCTTTTGACAAGGTCTGACACTGCAGACCAGAGTGGTTTTGATCTTGAGGCAATTCTGCTGCTTCAGCCCCTGGAGTCCTAGACCTATATGTGTGCCCCTGAAGGCCTGATTCATTTAGCTCTATCTAGTTTGTGAGGAGAGTTTGGGCTTGGGACACGGCACTTTAGTCTTTCTGCAATCCAGAATTCAAAGAAAAAAGGAGGAGAGGGCCATTGAGAAGGCCCAGAGGGTAAAAGAGCTTGCAGTGAAAGCATGGATATGATTCCTGGATCCCACAGTGGGAGGAGAGAACCAGCTCCAAAAGCTGTCCTCTGACCTTCACGCCTGCACATGGAAAGTGTGTACCTGCCCTCATAACACGTCACCACACACACACAACATACACACTCACTCAAATTGTAATAAAATAAAGTGTGTGTGTGTGTGAGAGAGAGAGAGAGAGAGAGAGAGAGAGAGAGAGAGAGAGAAGAGAAGAGAAGAGAAGAGAAGAGAAGAGAAGAGAAGAGAAGAGAAGAGAAGAGAAGAGAAGAGAGAAGACTGAATTCGGGGAGGCCTTTCTCAGTACAGTTTTGGAGAGAGAGCTGAAAGGTCACCGTGGGGTGTAAGCACAGAGAGGGATGGAAGTGGAAAGGAACACGTAAGTTGCAGAGCTCTTTCTAGTCCTTTGACCAAGGAAAGGAGAACCAGAATAACGGAGACAATGCTTCGGGAGTGAAGATTTCAAAGACTCTCATGAGGACTGGTTCCTGTCCTCAAGGCTCATGTTCTGGAAGGTGAGCTATGGGAAGGGGCGGGGAGGGCCATTAGGAGGGACCTCAAAAGTGCAGGAGGAGGGAGATGTGGTGTGAGGGGGCAGGTAAAGCCTGGCCGGTCTGGGAGGGCTCCCAGTGAGTCAGTGGGCAGGGCTTGGAAGGAGGAGCAGGCTCAGTGGCAGGAAGTGGTGTAGAGGAAGGGATGAGTCGGTCAGGCTAGGGTGGGAAAAGCTGACAGGGAAGGACTGTGAGTGAGAAGAAGCTGGACCGTGGGACAGGTGAGCAGAGAGGTGTCAGGTCTTCGCTCGGTAGGGGTGCCTGTGCCCGCTCAACCACTGTGTTGATCTTTTCCAGGCCAAGTAGCCTTTGGGTAGAATCAAACAGATGCAGCATCTCGGGGCCTAGAGGTAGGTCATGGGGTAAAGGCTTGCTGCACACACACGAGGATCTGAGCTTGACTGAATTCGATTCCCAGAACCCACATCACAAAAAGTACCAAAAACCAAAAGTTTGGATGCAGTGGTGAGGTCAGAGGACAGCTTTTAGGAGTGGTTCTCTCCTTCCACAGTGTGGGGTAAATCCCTAGCTGTCCAGCTTGGTGGCAGGCACCTCTGTCCGGATTTAGTCATTTTGCAGGTCCCATGCCTGGCTTTTGATTGGTCTGCCCAACTCACTGACTAACCCACAGTATTCTACTGTATCCAGAAAACAGCTCTTCCCCATACTGGCCCTCGAGTTCCATGAGACTAGCACCTTGTCTGACTCATTTACTCTATGGTCTTCAGCATCCTGGTCCACTATAGACACCTAACAAGCATTTCTTTCCTTTCCTTTCCTTTTTTTTTTCCAAGGCAGGGTTTTTCTGTGTAGCTTTGGTGCCTGTTCTGGAACTAGCTCTTGTAGACCAGGCTGGCCTCGAACTCACAGAGATCCGCCTGCCTCTGTCTCCCAGGTGCTGGGATTAAAGGTGTGCGCCACCATCGCCCAGCCTCTAACAAGTGTTTCTAATGAACGAGTGGGTGAAGAAGTGAAACTCAAGCTGAAGAAGGTTCAGAAAGTAATACTCCCATGCAGATGGGGACACAGTACCAGTATAAGCTGTGGATTCTGTAGATCTGGGCATGAGTGTGCCTTGTAGATCTGGGCAGGAGTGTGCCTGCTCTCTGAGAACTTTGGACACATTAACCCCTCTGAACACCTGTTTCCTTGTTGACAGAAAGGGAAGTAGAAGACCAACTGTATGTACCATTTTAACTGCACATCACAGTGTATGCCAGGGCTTCCCAGTGTTGGAGGTGGGGGTGGGGGTGGGGAGGGTGCTCCATAAACCCCAGCTCCTGTTTTACAAACACCATCACGGTCATCCCTACCCAGACTTCCTTTTATACTTGTTGAAAGTTATTGGCCATACCAGACATGGTGATGCATGCCTGTAGTTGTGGCACGGGGGAGGCCAATGCAGGAGGATCAAGAATTTGATGCCAGGGCTGGTGAGATAGCACCGGACCCACATGGTAAGAATAGAAAACCGATTTTAGCAGCAGACTGCCTTCTGACATCTGCATGTGTCACACACAAAATAAAAAAAGTATACAATAAAAAATCTTAAAAAATGGAGAAACATTTACCTAATGAAAAGGAACTGCCCACACGGCCCCTTCATTCTCTCCTTTGGTTCTATCAGCGGTGCTGTCCGCCACTCAACACTGCCCACTTGTTTATTTATTTATTTATTTATTTGTGAAACAAGGTCTCTCCACACAGCACCAGATGTCCTGGAACTCACTATGTAGTCCAGGCTGGTCTCAGACTCATTGCGTGGCCCAACACTGTATGCTTAGCTTCCTTTATGGGTTTAAGTTTAAGGAAAAGGTGAAACAACCAGTCACTCCATGTTCTTTTCTGGTGCTCAAAAAGCCCCCTTAGGTGTCATGTTTCCTTATCTGTGACTATAGTACTTGGTACATGGTGGGCAGGTGCAAGGTTTTGTCAGCTGAATCCCTGGAGAGAGAGGATATCCCCGCTGATGTCTTGTCTCCTTCTATTCTCCCCCTCCCCCTTTTTGAGGCACAATCTCATGCAAGCTCAGGCTAGCCTTGAGCTCACCATGTAGTCAACGATGGCTTCAAACTTCTGCATCCTCTGCCTCTAGCTAGCTACTGGGATTACAGGCATGCACCATCATACCTAGTTTTTGTGCAGTGCTGGGGATTGAACTCAGTGCCTTGTAATTCAGTGTGCCAACAGGAACTCTACAATTAGGCTACATCTCCCGTTCATCTTCAACTAACTTCTCAAAGCCCTACAATAAGCGTATGTTATGTAGCAAGGGGAAAGAAACCATCGCATTTCTGTTCTGGCAGGGGAAAGGGGATGGTAACCTTTCGTTTTCCATTTTCACGACCTCCCTAGCACCACACATCCCCCAGACAGTTCTCCACTCCTGCTTAGCGCTCTTTTCATGCTCCACACTGGGCTCACCACTGCGGAACTGCATTAGAATTAAAGACAAGACAAAACAAGACCAGCTGATGATGTGGCTAAGATACAACTGCTCAGTGGGAAGACACAGGCAGAGCTGGCTCTAGGTCCTGGGTTTGAGCCCCAGAACTTTTTGTAAACAAATAGGAGTAGAAACAATTAAAAAAGAAAATGCTTGACCCATTTATCGGATGAGAAGATCGAAATTCAGGGTAAGTCTATTGATTGCACAAAGCTGCACAACTAGGAAGAAGAAGGAAGGTGTGTGCGTGTCACCCTTAGGCATTTTGGGGTCAAATCCAGTGGTTTTTGCTTTGGCAAATGTGGGAGTATCATAAGGATGAGGAGGCATGCAAATGGAGAAGTGCATTCTGGGATGTCTGCTGGGAGGGCGATTGGTAAAGTGAGGAAAGAGGGTAAGGCTATGAGGTTCTCCTACCTTAGGAAAAGGTGTAGGTTTGGGGAAGGGGCCAGACAGGTCCCTGTCCTAAGCCCTGCTCTATATACCCCAGGAGACAGGCATCTACTATTAGGTTTAGCATCCCTCATCTTCCCAGGCTTACAATGTCATACCAGTTTCTCGGCCTCCCAGGTGTCCATGACCAGCAGTGTGGTGTCCTCTCCGTCCACCGAGAGGGTTCTCTCGTACACATCTGCAATCAAGCGGGAGAGTACAATCTCAGGGTGGAGTGGCCCACTGCAGACACGGTGTTGCCTTACTGCCCGTTCTTGTCAGTCACTCCGTCACATTTCCTTGGGGTAGGGAGTTCTGTCTTTCCTGGTGGTTAAAAGTCCCTGTTAGGTGTCCATGTGTCCCCAGTTATGAGCATAGTACATGGTACATGGTACATGGCAGGCAGGCGCAAGAAGCTGGCTCTTGTCAGTTGAATGAACATGGACTGGTGGGGTTAACCTGGGAATCCTCCCCAGCCTGCTCTGGACTCTAGCTCAGGCAGATCATATTATCTCAGGCCTCAGTCTCCCCATCTGTCACACACGTGTGAGCATATGTACATGACTCCAGCGAAGGTCGAGACTGGAGAAGGGAACTGGTCAGATGGTCCCCATCCTCTCTCTGTGTTTAGCCACTCCTTCCCTTCATACCCTGTGCCCTCGAAGCCTGCCGGGCAGAGGCCTGTCTTCCTGTCATCTGACAGGACTCTGATTGCCCTGCAGTTCAATGCACTTCGGGGGAGTAGAACAATCTATAGCTCAGAACCGGAGATCTGGAAGCCTCTATTTGGGAAGAACATTAGTTTTGTTGAGGGCTGAGGGATGGGAGGGGAGAGAGGTTGAGGACTCGGGGCTGGGAGTTTCTTTTTTTTTTTTTTTTTTAAATATTTATTTATTTATTATGTATACAATGTTCTGTCTGTGTGTATGCCTGCAGGCCAGAAGAGGGCACCAGACCTCATTATAGATGGTTGTGAGCCACCATGTGGTTGCTGGGAATTGAACTCAGGACCTCTGGAAGAGCAGACAATGCTCTTAACCGCTGAGCCATCTCTCCAGCCCCGGGGCTGGGAGTTTCTGAGCTGGGTGGAAGCCTGTCATTTCTTGACACACATGGTTTCAGAGTTTCTCCCCTTATGACATGGAGACAAATCATGTACTTTTCACCCAGTTTCCCTCCTCTAGGCCCTGTCCAGGTCGTGTCCTGCCCAGCCCTAGATGAACATCATTTACTTCTTAGCATGCTTGACTGCTCCTATATGTTGAACAGCAAGCATGTGACCAGCACAACTCTCTCTTCTCTGTAATCCTGTGCCCCTAGTGACAGGCTTTTCTGTCCTGTTACCTGCCTGACTCACCCCACAGGGCTCTTACCTCCCAGCTGTTCATGAAGGTCCCGCTCTTGCTTCCCTGCGAAGAGACTGGCCAGACTGGTCTTCCCGACGCCGGGGTCTCCAAGCAGCACTACCCGGTAGAGGGCTTCCCAAGAGCCTTCAGAGTCGCTGGATTCAGAGGACCACCCATCCTGGGCTGGGGAAGGTTTTCGAATGGGAGGGTTGAGGGAGGCCGACTGACCCAGTCGGGGATGCTGGGATTGAGTAGGGGGTGCGGTGCACAGGCGGCCAGGCTGGTGGCCCCGGGATGACAGGGGTAGCGGAGTGCTGGCTCGGCGGCGCAGGGTGGTCTTCGCTTCCTGTTGGGTGTTAAGTGTCATCCTCAGTCTTTCCCCTGGCTCCTTCCTTCCTTCTAAAAGAAGGTGGCTGAGCAGTAAGTCCGTGGCCTGAGTGCCTTCTTCTCCAGGTCCTGATAAACTGTGCAAACGACTTCCTCCAGAGTCCTCTCTGGTTCAACGGGGGAGCAGGGAGAGCTCTTCAGCTCCTTGGGGTTGGGGGCTGCTGGTTTCAGGCCTAGAGTCCACCGGGGTTCGCCTAGAAGGGGCGAGGGCAAGGCTGTAAACACACAGAGGCTGACACACCCCGAAGCAGATCTCCAAATTCCGAGGATGACCCTTTCCCCGTGACACAGACCGGAGAGTGGCTGCAGCCAGCTGAGATACCTAATGCATCCACAGCACATGCTGCCTACCGGGACCGGTCCTTCCCCTTCAGGATCTGAGACCCTCCCTACAGGAAACATCGGACCGCCCCATTCCCCCTTCCCCACCAGTCTCCTTCACTTGTTCAGGGTTGGGGGATGCTGAGGAGGATTGAGGCCTCTGGGAAGTTTATTCCCGCTGCCTGATACCCCCAGGCAGAGTTTGAAAAGGAAGGGAGGGGCGCGTTGGTGCCCCACAAGGGCGAGGGGCTCCAGGGATCTCTCTGGCTGTAACCTGAGTGCCCTGGTGCCATGGGAACGGCGTGCCCGGTCCGCCCCTGCGTGAAAAATTCAGGAGCCGCTGGCGCCATGGCCTTCAGCTTTTGTTGGGGGACAGAAGCCGCGAGGGACCCAGCAACTGGTTTGGTGACAGAACAGGGTGCAGGAAGGGAGCCTACCGGGCTCAGGACTCAAGTGTTTTTTCCGGGGAGTCTGAGCTGGAACTTTCCCAACTCCCGGCCCTGGATGTGAGTCCCAAGTCCTGGGGCGGTCGGGCGTGATGGTGGCGTTCCTTGTGCCGGGCTCTCCTAGCTCTGTCATCCCGCACCCTCCGGGACGCTGGTTCGAGGCTCCCAGTCCTCGGACCACACTGTATGCAGGCGACCGGAGAACTCCGCCCGGACAGCCAAGTTTACCTTGATGCGTGGAGGCTCCGAGTTCCCGCTGCTGCAGCTGCTGAGTACTCCGTTATTCCCCGGCCTCGGTACGCAGCCCCTCGGGCCTGTCCCGTCCCGCCCGGTCCAGAGCCACCCCGCCCCGTGCGGCCCCGCCCTGTCAAGGCAGCCCGGGTCCCCGCCCTGCAGACCTCCGCCTCCAGTCCTCCCCGTAGGGGTGGCAGTTGTAGGAATGGAGTGCCAGGAGAGGGAGTTTATTCCTGGGTCTGTAAATCCCTCTGTGTCCATCTACCGAGTACACCAACTTCAGCCCTGGGCGGAAGCCTCTGAGGGAGCTTGGTCGATGTTCAGAGCCCCAGGTTCCACCTTTCAAGGGAGGCCATGCGGGAGAACTGGGCTCGGAGTTCAGAAGTCTGCATTTTAAACAAACGTCCAAGTGATAACAGATGCAGATAATCCCCAGAGCACCCTTTGAGAAGCTCTGGGTGGAGGGTTAGTTTTGAAAAGCGGTCTTGGAGGAAGAGCCCATGTACTCTGTTGGGAGACTTCGGAATGTCTGGTACAGATACCACTAATTCACTCATGGTTCACTTGCTGCTGGTTCGCAGGGACAAAAGACTCTGTCTTTTAGTTTACTGTTCTCTTTAAAAAAAAAAAAACTTAAAAAACCTTTATTTTTGCGGGGTGGGTGGGTGGGGAGAGGTTGCCAAGGCACCTGTGCAGATGACAGCGGACAGCTTGGAGGAGTTGGTTCTCTCCGTCTATGGATATTGGGGATTGAACTCAGGTTGCCCGGCTTGGCAGCAGTGCCTTTGCCTACTGAGCCATTGCACTGGCTCTATCTATCCATCAGTTTTAACCTTTGTAGGCATGGGGAACAGGAGAGATGCTGATCTTGGCAAAGAAGAAAGGAGCTGACTACAAGGCCAGGGCTCGAGCTCTTTGGGGTAGGAGCCCCTTTAGCTCTTGAGGGGGTTTAGGGGTGTGTATGTGTGTGTTGTGTGTGCTGTGGAGGCCACACTGTACCTGTGGGTGGGACTCCTGGTCATGGTTGAGGGACTCCAGGTGCCTGGTTTGGAACAGATCCACAAGGCAGGGTATGTTGGCTCAGCCCCCTCAGTAACAAACTCCCTCAGGTCTGACTCCCTTCCGCAGCCTGGAGATGAGGCTCTGCTCTGTTCCAAGTTTCAGTAGAACAGTGGCTTTCAGGTTGTGCCTCGCCCTGGCTGACCCCATTTTACGAAGTGGCCGTTGGCTTTATTTTGACTGCACCTGCAGAGCAGCCTGTAGACACTGCCACCCGTCCGGCACCACCCACGAGGTGGAGACCAATAGACAATTCTATTAGCGTATCCGTTCACACTGGTCCCATCCAGGCTCGTTGGTGTATGGAGCCTGCAGCATACATACAGAGCACCAGATTAGGAAAGGGCACAGCACCCTCTCTGGACCTCACAGAAAGGATAAGTGATGCAGCCATGGTACCATCCCCACAGACCTGTCATGTGATCACCTGCTGTGTGTGTGTGTGTGTGTGTGTGTGTGTGTGTGTGTGTGTGTGAAAAGGGACCAACAGATCTCCCAATTATCCAAAGCTTCAGCTCAGCAGAGTCTCCACCATTTAACATGCCCTTATTGTTACCATTCTTCCATCCGTTGTCCATCTACTTATGTGGCCAGACTGGTCCTGGCTGCCTCTCTGGCTGCAGCTTAACCCTGTGTCCGGGCTCTGTGAACCTCCGGAAGCTCTCCACTTGTGTTGTTAGTATGTTGTCTAACCACTGGCAGTGACTTCTCTGGTCCTATATGCCCTCTGCTTCCCCTAATACCCCTTGACCTCTGTGGCTGCTTTAACCCCTTGTAGCTTCTCTACAGCACACACACACACACACACACACACTCATACACAATAACATACACACACAGCTATAGACCTGTGTAGACATGTACATACTTGGAACTGTGTGAAATATAATGTTAATAATTGAGATCAGAATAAAGATCCTGAGAATGCCATGGGCCAGTTATCAAATCGGGACTGCCTGGCAACTTACATCCAATGGAAAGGACATAGCCTGTAGATTTATTGTTATTAATAAATTCTGCCATTGGGGAAAGACATAAATGTGATTGTGCTTCTAACAGGTAGCTTTGCTGCCTCAGCCTCCCTGTTCTACCTGCAGGCTGGGCTGTGCTGGACTAGCACCCTTCACAGTCTGAGAGTGCGGTGATCTGGTTTCCAGTCCTAGTTCTGTTAACTCTGTCACCGTGGGAGCTTACGCGAGTCAACTCCCCTCTTTGGGTTTCGGTCTCTTCATTTAAAATTGTAATCTGCAGGCCTCGGTGGTGCACATCTGAATTCCAGCACTTGAGAGCTAAGGCAGGAGGATTGTGAGTTCCAGTCAGCTTGGGTTACATAGTAAGTTCTAGGCCAGCCTGGCTGCATAGCATGGCCCTGAGTGTCCCCCCCCCCCCCCCCCCAACTTAAGCAAGCTTTTATTAAAATTTTAAATACTGACAAAGAAGAAATTTGTCAGGGCCACCACCTGGAAACTTTCTGGCTGTGTGGCCTAGAGGCATGTGTTGGTGGGGCTTCTATGGAGAAAACCCAAAGGGCCTGGCCCTGTTTTAACTCCCAAGGAAAAAGTAACCGGAGGTAACCTTGCTAAGACAGGCAAACAAATGAACATGTTTTTGTCTATGACATGGAAGTCTGAACTCAGCATTTAAGCCATCGTGGTGTGTAGTCATCCCGGCCTCTTTTAAGTAGGTCTCGCGGCTGTGACCTGCACTTTCAGGCCTGTTCTGCTCCCTGTGCCGGGGATGCCCTTCCCTTGCTCATCTTTCCTGCTGTAACCTAGACGATAAGGAACCAGACTCAGTACCATTAAGTACTGTGCATGTGTTATCCCAGTGGCTCCGTCTGGAGTGGTGTCTTAGAAAAGCCTAGAAGACTTGCATGGCTCTTTGATTCAGAAATTTGGGGTACGGCTAGGGAGCTCTAGTTTCTCTCAGGTGGGGTTTGCTGCTCCGGGCACTATGCTTTGAGAACCTCATTTCATTCAATGCTCCAAGCGTAGTTAGTTATTGCTCTCTGTGAGTAATAACTTCCATCCTCAGAGTAGATCAGAGGCTGGAGAGATGGCTCAGTTGTTAAAAGCACTGGCTGCTCTTGCAGAGGACCCAGGTTCGGTTCTAAGCACCCATATGGTGGGTCACAACCATCCCTAACTCCAGCTCGAGGGGATCTATTCCCACTTCTGACCTCTGCAGGCACCATGCATGCACAGGGTGCACATGCATACACGCAGACAAAACACATAAAATAAAATGAATGAATCTAATAGAAAATTAAAAATAAGGTAATCAATTTGAAAAGAAAGAAAAGGACTCTTGTTATCATGTTGTAGGTGGCAGCAGCCTGGGTCTCTTCCAGGTTGGGCGATTTGTTTAAGGTCTCCCGGTGGTTAGGGAGGGGGTTAATTACTTTTGTCCTTGTTGAGACCCAATGCCTGACTGAAATAGCTTAAGGGAGGAAGGTTTGTTTGCTTCACAGTTTGAGGGTGCAGCTTATTAGGGTAGCACCAGGAATGTGAGGCAGCTGCTCCTATTGCATCTTTGTGTGTGGGGAGGAAGGAGGGAGGGAGAGAGGGAGGATACAGGTGCTCAGTTCGCATTCTTTTTATTCTGTCCAGGATGATCCCAGCCCATGCAGTGGCTGTTCACACTGAGGGCGAGTCTCCCCATCTCCATTAGCTCACCTAGAAACTTACTCACAGGCATATCTAAATGTTGGCCTCCAAAGTGATTCTAGATGCTGCCGAGTTGACAGTCAGTATTCACCAGCACATGGGAAGATGCCGGCCTTTCTCAAGTGTTTTCTTACTCTCTCAGCTGGGAAGATTCATCTCTTCTTCCTCCCCTGTTCCCCCTCAATGGACCCAAGGGCCTTGCAGCCTCAGGAGGATGTGGCTGACTAGTCCACGCAGAGCTAGCCATGAGAGGGCTAAGCAGCCTTGGGACCACGTGGCTGCACCCTCCCACCTGGGCTTGCTGCCCATGACTCTGCAGCCCATAAAAGCTGGAAATGCAGAAAGACTTTATGCTGGATTCTTCTCTGACCTGGTCCCGGCAGCCTCCCCAGGAGCTTGGTGGCCATGGCACAGTGGATTCTGCTCATTGTAGCTTTCCTGGTCCTGGGTCATGTGCCACCAGGTAATCATGTGTGTGTGTGTGTGTGTGTGTGTGTGTGTGTGTGTGTGTGTGTGTGTAAATGAATACTAGGCTCCCAGGTCCAGAAGGCCAGATTAGTGTTTAAGTTATGGTTCCACTAATTTGTGGGACAGCATATAGCCAGTTGTTAAATCAGGCTGCACCTCAGTTCCCTAATCTGTAAAATGGGATTCACTCCACAGAAACTCTTCTGAAAGCTATGCACTATTATGATTGCTGGAGGCTTGTGGGAAGAGAAAACAGGCAGACAGATAACCTGTCCGGTGGCTACAGATATAAAAACAATGGAGGCAAATTGTTAGTAGCATGTGGGGTTGGATGGATGGTGCTGAAAGGCTCTGATCAGCTCTTTAAAACGTTTGAAGATTTATTTTATTTCCCTTTGTAAAATGGTGTGTGTATGTGTGTGTGTGTTTGTGCAAGTGAGTGTTGAGGTCCACAGAGGCCAGGAGTGAGCATCACACTCCATGGGGCTGATGTTATTTGCCCTTGTGTGAACTCTCTGATGTGGGTGCTGGGATCCAAACTCTGGTCCTCTGATAGAGCAGTAAGTGTGCCTAACCACTGAGCAATCCTCCCAGCTTCTAGAACCCCTTTTATTGTGATCGGAGCATGATACTTCACACCTGTAATCCCAGGACTTGGGAGAGAGGATTGAGGGTTCAAGGCCGGCTTGGACCTCCTTAGTGAATTTGAGACTCTGGCTTGAAAAATAACAAAATATAAACTAAAAAATGAGAGAAAAAATTTCAAAACTTCTGTTTTGAAAAAAGCGTAAAATATGCATAGACAGAGAATGGCGTAGCAAGTAGGTAAGGTTGTCTTTTCCTTCCTCTGTTTTGCTTGATGGTAGTGGGGATGGGACCCAGGACTTTACACCGCTTAAATGCGTGTTTAAGCACTGACCTATGCCCCCGC